TTAAATTTCATCTGTGTCGCTGACAAAGACAACATAACAGATGACTTTTTAATGGCCAAAGTACTTAACCACTTGTTAAAAAAAAATAGTGGATGCTATTAATATGGTAATCCCTTCAATCCTATGGATGTGGGTGACTCAGGGGCTCCGTGAATGAATGGGAAGCCTGCGATTTTAATCCCCCAGAGCACTTCCTCTCTAGTCTGCACTACCAGAGCTAAGTGATTCATTCCAGCGGCTACCATACGCCAGCCCGCACTCTCTTAGCTGTTTGTGTCCAATTTGAGTGATTTTTAAAATTAAGAACGTGCCTGAAAAGCATTTCATGAGAAAAATAAAGGCTTAATTTTTGGTTACCAAGTGTTTGAAACAGCAGGGAAATGTGAAGTGGCAGTAAATGACACTTGGAGAAATTGAATAATGGCATGTTATTAGCAGTCAAAGCATGTCTGGGCATAATTGCAGTGCTACAAAAAAGGCAACAACTTTTATGCCATTATCGGTGCCCTAGAGAGACTTAAAAAAAATCCTGAAGTATAATAGCTTATAAATCTAGAAATATGTATAATGTAACAACCTGATGATCCTATTTAAGATCAGCCATGTCAAAAGTGTTATAGTTTGTCTATTCATTTGTCACTAATTTAAACAGTGTTTCACCACCAATCTTATAGGTGCCTGTTCAACACACTAGACAGTAACATGATTCTACACAAAGCTTATAAAATATTAAGCACCCCACACAAATTATTCATTATCTTTGTAAGGAGACGGCTTCCAAAGATGCTGGCAGGAACTTCACCCAAATGTTGCAGTCCCTCACCTACTTAAGATTTTAATGTTGTTCACTTCCTCTTTGCTGAAATACTATATACAGTACCTTTTTCACAGGGTGTGAGATTTAAGGAGTGAGATGTCCGCTTCATTCGGATTACAGCTACAATATAACAATAAGGAATATACCAGAACTTATAGTTATCACATTTTGGCTCGTGTTAACAATTACAGTAAACCTGCTGGTTATTTATTTAACATTTATCAATACTAGAAGGGAAATATGTTGACATTATAGCAGCCCATATCACTTTAGTCTCTAATGCCAATGAACTATAATTTTAAATCAGGAAAAGTCATTAATTTTAAAAGTTTAAGATTATGCACCTGGATAGCCTTCCACAGCCTTACACCAAACAAAGTTTGCACAAGAAATAAAAAAATCATAAATTAATTTGAGATTAAATGTAGTGCTCCATTTCAATATTATTGTAAAACAGGGTTTTTAACACTGTGAAAATACAGTATTTGTACACATATTTTTTTTTTACCTTTTAATCAAATCTCTAAAAATAAATAAGCTAATTTAACTGGGTTAACTAATAACAAAATGACACCTAATTTTGTTGTTTGTAGATCAACTTCATTATACTTTAACCAGGATTTTTAAACTGCTATTTGGAAGGTCAGTTACCAACAAAATATATTACTGAAAAAAACTGTCTGTTTTGAAGCTGGACGATGCTGGGCCGCATTTCTTAAGTATCGTGACCTAAGGTGATAGTATACCATTGGTACCATTGTTCTACAATCTACTTAGACTTGCTTTTTTGAGAAACACAGCCCTTGTCATTTATGGTCCAGAGGTGATAACTACCAACTATAGTGAGATTGAGGATGACCTGGTAGACCTCGATAAAGCCAGTTAGACAAGTTCCAAAAACCATCTTAGGCTAATATAACATGCATGGTTTGCCAAGCCACTTTGCCTTTTGCCACTTTTCATAAAATAAAATTCTAAATGCATCATTGTATTATATAAACAGCAGCAAACACATTTGCTACAATCATAATCATATCAAATCACTGCACTTGCTGCTATGTCCTAACTTACCTGAGGAAAAAAAAAGTTAGGTAGCAGTAACTGTGTTCTAAATTCTTTAGAAATTACATCAAATAATATTTTTATATACTTAAATATACAAAAGGCACTTTTGCATAGTTCAAACATACTATACGACTGCCGCATAAACCGCACTGCATTAGAACAACTCATCCTAACATTCATCTTCGTAAATACAGGCTGTTATATCTTTGGGACTAAAATCTGGATAAACTGTCCCGTTTAATTTTTCAAGCCATCTACGATGCAAGGGATTGAACTCGTGAAGTCTGGTTTCTGCTCCCCCTGCATATCCAGTCCTATTCCTTATTTGGATGTCAAGTGTAGTCGAAGTCAGGAGGGCTCTTTTCCTGCGGAATACAAATTATCTCCATCCCGTCTCCTTCATCTGACATCTTATAAACGCCTGAGCTCTTCAACAAGAATGCAATTTATAGTTTCAGCCTTTACAATATAGCCATAAATTTAACACTAAGGCTATACAATAATATCAATAGTGCTGAAGTAACTAAAACACTAACCCACGTTGCCGCACTTCTGCACTGCACATTTGTCTGCAATGGATGGCCGCTGCGGTTTATTGTAATAAACCCTGAGCCAAATAATAGCCTCCAAACGAAGTAAACACGCAAACTTTACGTTTTAGTTTGATGTGAAATATCACTGAGGTATTCAAATAATGTGGATATGACGGAGAATGTAGTATGTGTTGTGTAATACACTCACCTTTCTGAGGAAGCAGTCCAGTTTTCCGTATTGATAAGGCTGCTGTACGCTGCACGCGCTCGCTCGTGCGTCGAGCCTCTCACGCTCTCATCATCATAATATCACTGGCGTGAGTGGAGAGGGAGGGAGAGAGAGAGAGAGAGAGGGGCGTTCCGTGGAGCCACAGACGTTTAGTAGAAATCGTTTTCTAATTTAATAAAAGTGCATTTGCAATCCACATTTGAATGAATAATAATACATTTAAATAAAACATATTACATTCCGTTAATTATTTCCTCATTTAAATTTCAACAACAACTTATAATAATCTAGCTTTAATTAAGTTATATTATAATTGTAAGCTAAAACTTGGAAGTTTGCTGAGGCCCCCTAGCGGTACGTCGACCCCCTTGTTGAGAACCATAGAGGAGCTGATAATAAAAAAAGAATTGACAGAAAATATAGATACATTTTAAAGTAAAAGGGTCATACCTAAGTTTATTAATTATAACCATATTCCAAATAAGTAACATTAATATATTATTTTGTGAGAAACAGGCATTGCGTAACACGTAGCCAACTGCGACTGGAATTTTTAGCATATTATCAAAGCAAAAAAATAAAACAGCGTTTCCTGTGCACTATGTAGGCAGCACACCCCCTGGCCTACCTGCTGAGAAAAGTATTTAGTAGTGGTGACACCCCTACTAAATACTTTTCTGTGAACTTACCAAAAACATCCGCTAGAGGCCAATGTTTACACATATAACTTTGCATTTTGAGCTACAGCAGGGGTTCTCAACTCTGGCTGTCAAGGTCCTCTTTCCTGCAGAGTTTAGCTCCAACCCTGATAACTTATTTTACTGTCTATGGATGACTCTCCCTTTAACTTTGCGACTTTCCAATTACAGTACCAACACTTACGGTCTTGGCCACTTAAAAACGCACGCGCACGCGACAGGAGTGTGTCCTATCGGGTAATTAAAAGTTCTACACACACTTCACGCCTTCTTGAACACTTGTGCCAAATACAGGAAATACGCCATGCAAGTGGTCAAGTGCAAACCTTTTTACAGTCTATGGTGCAAACACGGAGGGTGCAATTCTCCTTTCTTATTTGTGCATCCTCGTTTCCATTCCTCGCTTCCTTCCCTCGCGTCTCAGCTTCACCCCCTGTAGGACGCGAGGGAAGAAAGTGGGGAAAGAAAAGGAGGACGGATGAATCGAATAAAAGCTTTTTTATATACATGAATACTTGATCACTCGAGCGTCATCAGCGGCGCAAAAAGGAACTGCCCTTATGTTGTTGAAGTTTGGTTATTAATAAATTCATAATCAATAATAATAAAGATAGGCTGCTACACTGTTGAAATATGTGAGATGTGCGGTTTATATAAACTGCAAAGGTAAAGTATAACTTAAAAAGATTGTGACCGATGTGAAGGGGGGGGTGATACGTGCCTCAGGTCATGGATGGAGGACAAGTTTAATAACAAGTTTAAATTCCATTATGCAGTTTCTGTAATGAAGGAAATGAAACAATTGTACACTTATTTTTCAGTTGTAATTATACTAAATTATTTTGGTCCCAGTTTCTTGGTTTCTTTTTGAGTTATTTTATACATTTGTCCTAATAACGGATGTTCTTGTTTATGTAGCCTATTGTAATTCTGGTTTATTGGAAATGGATAATATAATTAAACTTCTCATTCTATTTGGAGAATGTCATATACATAAAGCAAAATGTATATCGACTGTACCAAATGTTAGACTATTTTCCACTGATCTGAAGATTTTTTATGACTCTAACTTCAATACACAACAAGCTAAAAGCTCTAAAGACATCAAAACTGTTGAAAGGGATACTTCATGTATTAGAAACATGATTGATATGTGATATAAAATGCAGAATTGTGATGTTTTTACTTTACGGATTCAAATGTCTCTCCCCTTTACTTTTTAAAATAAATAAAGTTTAAATGAATCAATTCTCCACTCCAGACAAAAAAAGTAATATTTTTTTTACGTAGTAACAATTATAACTGGAGCTACCAGTGAATTTTTCATTTGACTTAATCTTCAAAACCCCCTATAGGTGTTTTTACACTACGTTGTATTAACCGTAATTATGAGTTTCCAATTTTCACATCCTCGTAGAAGTCGTAAATACAACTTGTAAACTGAATTTTTGGAGAGCTCCAAATTGTACCATATGATCACTACAGATTCATACTGCTGTTGATGTTTTCATAGAAGCATATGCAAGCACTCCCTCATCTGCCTCCACTTTTGAGTGCAAAATCCAGTAAAAAATCTCCAGACCTACATTTTCTTATTTTATGATATCCCTTTACACTCAGATGTATGACACAATACGGAAAAAAAGATATCTCGCTACTTGGGATTTAATTGGGACTTTAATCAGTTTTCATCATGGTTGACAAAACAAACATGAACACACACAAAACACATATCTGCCCTTGTCACACTCTGCTTTCACACTTAAATACACAGTTTCCATTTTCTCTGTCTTTCTTTGGGTGACATATATACCGTAACCAGCAGTAAAAAGTGAATAAATATGTTTTTAAAAAACACAGACAAATATGCTACTTTAAATCTCATGTGCAATGATCACAGCCAACAAAAGCTACACTAAATTGCAGTTTCAAACAGATACAAATTGTAATTAAAAAAGTAAGCACGTTCTTGAGCTTGCTTGTTTGCTATAACTAACGGCACTCAGAGTGTACAAACCAAATAGCTAAATTGCAAACAAGTGACATATGAGAAGACCCTTTAAACATATTGCATATCTTCAGATGAAGATATATATTTCAAAACCTATAAAGGAAGGTGATTGTTTGCATTGCAAGTTGAGTCTAGATCAGTTCAAATCACTGGCTGTAACAGAAACCTAAAAAATACTGTATTCACAGGCAGTATATGAAAGGTAAGAGCTTCAAGACTCCTCAATCTGATGTTTGCATATTATCCTGTGTGCTTATTGGATAGTTTTTGAGCATATATATATTTTTGACGCACAATTCTGTGCAGATTTGGCAGTTGGTAAAAATAATATAGATGGCATCCATCTTCCTTAAGAGATGCCTTCATTCGAACCTCTGTAAGATCACTGACTCAGTACAGCCAAGCAGATGTCTTCTGTTTCAGACACAGCCAGTATCTTTTCCTCCATCTTGAAGAGACTTCCAAATCTCAAAGGCTCAACAAGAAAAGTGCACAGTCAAACAGAACGAAAGCCAGCCATGTTGAAGCAGGCCATCACCATGTTCGTCTTGGTAAAGGAGGAGGTGGCATAGACCTCTGTGCAGGCGTCTGAGGAACAGGACGCGTTGGACTCGATACGTATCGCTCGTTTAATATCTCTGGAACCCTAAGAGACAGAGGGTTCAATTTAAAATGTATTCATGTGACGGCAAAGCTGAATTGGAATAAACATTTACAGAAATATCTTTTTGTTTTTCACTTTTTTAAAAAAAATGTTAAATTAAAAAGTTTGCTCGATTGACTTACACTGATAGAATGTTTAGCATTCAAAAAATAACTGCCAGAAGTAACACTGTAACGTTCGAATACTGAATTGTGATCAGTTTTGAAATGCTGTATACTGTATATTTCATCATTTAAAGCCACCTCTAACGCCACAGTGACTATGTGCTGAAATTAAGCAGAAATGACATTAAAATTAAGAAATTACACTAAAATAAAGCATAACTGTAGCCTGGCATGCCAGACCTACATCAAGATGTTAGTCATCATTGACAGGGCTCAATCCGAGGGGCGGGATAAACGGTTGTCTTTCAAATTCTCTCTGCAACGCAATTGGATAGTTCTACAACCAATCAGAGCATTGAAGAAGGTGACGACTGAGTCCCATGCATTTTCCCACCAGCGGAGCAAGTTGATATATTAAACTTTTACAGTATCCAGTCGGAATTTTTTTTTAAATGACTCAAGTGCCGTTCTTTGTTCTGGTTTCAAAGAAGAGCTTAAGTTCAAATCATCCAGAGTAGCGGAGTAGTTAAAGCAGAATCGAAAGACAAGCTGTTCGCCAGCAGCAGCCATTCTTTGTTTTCAAGCATTACTGTACCGTCGCAACCATGTCGTCTTTATGTTAAGCCCGCCAGATGTGATTGGCCTGACCAGAGTTTGGTTTTTCCAGTTAAAACGTCTATGGAGAGTTGCTAGACCACACTGGCTGCAAAATCATTTTTTGCTGCAGCTAGGGTGCGACTAGATTTCTAGGCTAGCATAAATGTTTTTGTATGATTGATTTGCAAACACTGGTATTTTATTCCAGAGAAATGCCAAACTTGTTCTTGAGTTGGGTTGGATGTGCACACCTCTCTCAAATAGTGCCCATAGTCAGGATTAGAAGAAGATATGTGGAGCCCACATCAGAGGGCAGATGTTCTTCACCCCCTCTCTGACGCTATACAAATGCATTAGTGTTTGTAGATATCAGCTGGTGAAAAAGTAGAGCATTCCGAAGCCACACTCCAGATTTAAAGGTTGATACATACTTCTACGTTCAGTAAAGTTACTGGTGGAAAGTTAAGTTTCACAAACTCCGGCATTGTGGTTAAGAGTGTTTTGCGATTGATGCTGTGGTTTGTCACATGGGGAGGCGCAGAGTTTCATACATGAACCATCTTTGCCTCATCTACGAACTTGCATCCAGTAATCTGGTACATTCTTGCAGTGAAACTTTTCGAAAATAAAACTAGCTGAAGCCACAAACCAAATATGTATGTTTACTCTGTACACCTTCTAATCTCGCTGTGCGAAATAACTCTGTGTTAAAATGGATTTTTAATTTAGAGTTAGAAATGTACTTCGCAATAGAGCTATGACAGAAACCATGCGGTTTCACTTTATTTGGTTGGTCCCTTTAATGAATTCTGTTGACTATAAGTAACATTGCACCTACACCTCTACTAACTCTCATTAGAGTATTAGTAGAGTATTAGAGAGTATTATTGACATGTAGTTGCAAAGTTACTTCTAGTCAACAGAATGTTCAAAAGGGACCATCAAAATAAAGATTTCAACGTAGTTGGTTTTACCTGGTATTTTAAACACATACCTCTCCGTTACACGTGGCGGGACCCGGGGTGGAGGGAGTACTGGTGGAGTGTTCACTGCAGGCCGGAGAGGCCGTGGAGGAAGCGGAATGTCTGGAGGCTCCTGGACCATGAAAGCAAAGACACATGAACATTAAAAAAAAAAGAAAGAAAAATAAAGATGTAGTAATTTCTTACATGGTTATTATTTGCCTTAAAAATAAAATATTCTGGTGCAAAATCTCTACTCTGACACATACAAGTATCTACTATGACAAAATATAAACACTTTAAACCAGTTCATTTTAACGTTACAACAATACATTAAAATTCAAATGTTTGGGGTCTGTTTTTGAAAGAAGTTTCGTATGCTCACCAAGTCTGCATTTATTGGATCAAAAATACAGTTAAATAGTTAGTAATATCAATACAGTTTAAAATAGCTTTCTATTTTAATATTTTTAAAATTATTTATTTAAGAAGGCATTACTCCAGTCTTCAGTGTCACATTATCCTTCAGAATTCATTCTAATATTCTGATTTTGGTGCTCAAGAAACATTTCTTTTTATTATCAATGTTGAAAACATGTGCTGCTTAATGTTTTTATAGAAACCGTGTAACTTTTTTCAGGGTTCTTTGATGAAAAGAAAGTTCTTAAGTAAAGAACAGCATTTATTTGAAATATAAATATTTTTAACATTACAAATATCGAGACTGCCACTTTTGATCAATATAATTAATCCTTGCAGATAAAAGTATTAACTTCTTTAAAACAAGCATCTTAAAGCTGCGGTCTGTAGTTTTTCCTCTTTGTCGCCATCTCTGTTCGAAATCTGCAATTGCAGTCAATCGCGTAATTATCAATTTTACGACAGTTGTACTTCAACACCCTCAACAATGCACAGGATGAACACAATGTTTGAGGAGAGTGTGAGGCTGTCAATCACCGCGCCGGTGTGGACACTGGCAGTCAGAATCACAGATTATTCTTTTTGGAAGTGTGACCAACATAACAATTTTCACCAGAAAATGTCCTCTGAACTAGAACGAAACATCCACTTTTGTTCTGGTTCTGACATTGCAGTAAATCAATCTTATAAGTTATCATATCAGGCAAAACCGTGCAAATTATACTTTGTTCTCAAATTGTTAATGTTAACAATGTCAGCATTGGGTGACTACATGTAATGTCCTTCCGATATGTATCCTTGTTTTCACATGGGCCAGTTGCTTTCTCTTTTGTTTTGTAGCCACTATAAGGCCGAAGAAGTCTTTTGCATTTTACAGCTGGTTGTCACTGGTAGTTGTCGTTTGAACCTTTCTGGATCCGTCATCAAATTGATAAGTTTAATTATATCAAGTGCTGTGAGAAAAGGCTATAATTCTCCACCTCCAACATCCTCACACGCAATATAGACGACTAGCCGAGACTCCTTTATGTGTACAGATGTGACGTAATGACGCATGCTAAAGACATCCTTGAATCTCCTGTGGAAATCCACCAGTACCACTGGAATTAAAAACATTATTACAAGCTTACCGCTCTGAATCAAGCTAAGACAAGCAGAGAGTTTTGAACACTGGCTGGTTATGTACAGTATTTTCTCAAATATGTATTTTAGATAATTTTTAACCCCAAAAAAGCTATGGACTGAAGCTTTATAATCCCAAATTTGTATACATTATAGGTATCTGATTCATAACAAGTGTTGTTTATGACAGGATGGAGCAGATAATGGTCGTTATAACTCAAATTTAAAAAGCAATTAAAGGAAAAAACTGACCTCACATTCACCGTCCATCCCACTGCTGTTGCTAACGGTGCTCTGAATGCTCAATCTGTGACTGCTACTACCTGCACAAGTCAAACCTTTACAATTTAATTGTTGAAACGCAACCATACTTGTAAACAAAGTTCAGTGACTTCATCAGTTCAAGTGTACATTTGTGTGGGATCACCCCAAAAAGACTTAAGTTTTAAGAAGACCACATATGCTAACATTCCCCAAAACATCCATTGGAAGTTTCATAGTAAAATGAATGTCAGAGATGGTAATGCAATAAAATTCATATATATATATGATGGTACTGACATTAATGTACTCCAAGGCATGTTATAGACTAGAGCATCACAGTCCCGCTCACAGCCCGAGAGAGCGATGATGCTGGAAGTAAATTTCCCATTCATTTCTCCCATTGACATTTTGTAAAATCCATATCTAAAGAGTATTAGAGCATGTCTGAGGATAACCAGCTATGGCTAAACTCATAAGCATACAACATTTCATTTCAAGTAAAAAAACGAAGAAAAAATCCAAAAAAAGTCAAGGGTACAAGCCTTTCCGAGCAAAGGAACTACTCCTCCCATAAACCACCGCGCCTCACTGAGATCAACTGAAGCCACAGTGAAAGAACCTTTTGAGTAACTTCCAAATCTGACAACGGCCACGTGAATTTTTTCCTCCAGTGAATTTTATATAGTGAATGTGCAGGGAAACTCCTTTTCCTTGATTTACTGAAGCAAACACATTTGCAGCTACACAGCTAAAACAGTGAGCATCTGGCTCACTCATAGGCTGTGCTGCGGCAACTGCACATCCAATGGCGCGGGGGCGTCTCAGAGGCGCGACCAATGAACTAGCCCTACGTCATTACACAATCCTCAGTCTTCACGGATCTTCCACCAATCAGATGCATTACTGTGGGATTGTGGGATTGTTCAGGAATGTGGATAATGAAGTACTTATCCGAGACATCGTGAATTAAAGGCATTTATCTTTATCTTCATTTATGGGGTTAGTGCCCAATGAACTTTTGGCGTTTATATGAGCATATACAATCGCTAAGTACAGCCGTAGCTGGTTTTAAGTCTACCATGTATGGTTACATTTTTTAAGGCTTACATCTCAAATGTCAATGGAGAAATTGTATTGAATTCTTACTTCCGGCACCGGTTGTGGGTGGGACTGTGATGCTCTATTGCATGAGATTAAAGAAATAATTATCTTTATTTAACATACTAGAAGTGCTGGAGGTGCTTCCTGTCTGCCAGCTTCCTCTCTGCAGCGGTCTACTAACAGGAGGGGGTTGGGCAATCGAATGAGGTGAGGGATCATACACGGAGCAATTCATGTTGATTTGAGAACCCCACTGAACGTTTGTTTGCATCGGTGCAGTAATCATAAGCTCTAATGGGGGAGGTGAGAAAAAAACAAGTTTAGTTACATGCTAAATTCTTGCTTAATGTCCCAAAATGTAACATTCATATTAAATGGTCCCACCATAAATGCATTCTTTTTATGTGCCAGAAACAAAAATATATTATTTTTAAAGTATATTTGTTTGTGTATTTGTTTAAAAAAAACACAAAAATAACTTTCTTTTGAAGTATTATTTGCAATAATATGTGGAAACTATACAGTTAAGTAACTTTAATAATTTTCATACAAGAACGGACAGATGGGACCTGAAACTCTTTCACACTGTCCACAGACCATTGATTTATTATTTTTCATAGAGTCCTAAGAGTCATATTATAACTTTTCTTGTACACTTTAATAGCATGTCATGTTAGCCACTTAGAAGCATTTTGTGAAATTACCAGTTGCCGCTTTGCCTTTACAGCGTCGTGTGATGCTGTCTCTTAATCTTTGTAAATTATCCTAGAAGTAAACGGAAAGATAGTTACAGAAACCTCAGAGACACTCGTTTCATTTGTTAACCTTCTGTTTTGACAATTATCATGGAGTTACTTGTTACCTGCTGAAAGCGGAGAGAGCGCCATCTTTTATCTTGATCAAACTGCCAAGCCTTGAAATCCTGCACTGCCTCTTCCACAGTCAGCTCTCCCACCTTCACCCTCTCCTGCAGAGAGATGAGCTGTCTCTGTCCAGGGGTCTTCATGCCTGCAAAGGGGTCATGGTGACTGCTCATGTCGCTGTCTACCACCAGCCGTACAGGTGCTGTAAGAATAGATCATTTCAGCAAGGAAATACTTTCAATTTAATGCATTCATTATCTGTTTATATACACCAAAGGTTTGCAATTAGGCTCAAGAAAGACACTGTCACTCGGTACCTAGAGAAGAATCCCTTTCTGGCCTTTGGCTGACTGAGTATACAGGATCCTTGAGGCAAAACACTGTAAAGCAGGTCAAATTAAACTGACTGTTAACCCAAAAATGAAAATGGTGTCATCATTTATTCATGCTCATGCATTCTAAACCCGTATGCATTTGTTTCTTCAGCTGAGACATTTTGAAGAATGTTCATAACCGTAATTAAACTTTAGTTCGCACCTTTGGAAATGTAGGTTTTGTTCTCTTCAGGCTCTGGCAGGTTGGCTGGCCGGGGGATCGGTGCAGGTGGGCGATTGATCACTTCAGGGTTGAAATGTTCCTCCACCGTGTCATAAATTTGATCAGGGCAGCACGGGTTATACGGGTCCTCCTCTTCTACATCACCATAGATTTCCAGACTCATGTCATGATAATTCTCATCATCCATTTCAGGGAATCCACCATTGGTTGAATTATGTTGCAAGGATTGTGAATGCTTGTCAGGTTCTGCTAAACAAAAACCAAGGATTCATATTATTTGACAACTGCAAAATATACAATGCTTGTATGCCAGCTTACATTTTTGTAAACGTCATTAGAGTATTAGCAAGCTGCTCCGTTTTCACAGTATGCAAACATGCTACATCCTGTAGCAGAGATCACAGGTTCAAATGCACATACTAGCAGAATAAGATAAGATGGCATAGCTAATTTATCTATTTCCCTGCGTTTTGCATTACAAATATGAGGACGATTTTGTAAACCTTTACAGAAATGTTGTACACTTAAGTTTAGGTAAAGACAGCTTTGGCATAAATGCATAAAGACAGATAGCTGAAGGGTGTTATCACATGGGGGAAAAGTGACAAAAAGTCAGTCACACAAATAACTGTTATTTTCTGTCTGTCATTTCTCATTGATGTACCTTCAAAAAACTTTCTGAGCATTGTCTCCGTGTTGGAGTCCTCCAAACCACCTTCCAAATCATCATCTGTAGAAACAGAGATTTTGTATAGATATTTTACAGTACATATCTTCAACATCTGGAAATAGGCCCATAAAACACGTTTAATCTTTAAATGCGTAACTACATTCTCATATATTTATAGGATAGTCCTAGTAAAAAATAGAAAAAATCACTAGAGTTTTGAAAAAAAAATGCCATGTACAAACCCATCTCAGGTTTAAGTTTCATCATAGACTCGTAAATATCCTCCTTATCGAAACTTGTGATGAAATTTTGGGAAGCTGTCAACATATCCTCATAGATATCCTCATTGTCAGGGTTGTTCTGAGATTCCTCCATGTGGGTCTTCACCATATCTACAGTCTCCTGTTGGGTTTTAAGAAAGAAAGTTTACATAATGCTATTTTGAAATGAAGGCAATCCTGCATGCTGTACAAATGTATGCCGATCATTAACATAGGCTAAATAACATAATTACATCATTGTATCTTCATTACCAATATTCTGTGCAATGAAATTGCCCATATCACTTTTCAAATTCAATGACATTCAGTTATACATGCATTAAGAAATCCGTGTGCCCACAGCATTTCAGGAAATGATGGCTGGCTCTGTTTACATAGCCAGTTACAAAAGTCATCAAGAATATTTACGCAATGAACTCACGACAAATTCATCCATGAAGCGTCTTAAATCAGAGAAGCCACTCTTCTCGGCCAGATTGTTAGGGTAATCTCCATCTTTGTTCATCACACTGTAAGCCTGCAAGGCTCCGGGGCACCGCATTAACAAGGACGTTAATTTTTTTAAGCCGTATTTGGCCGAGAAGTGAAGCAGTGTTGGGAGTTCCACATTACGGTTATCTGAAAACAAAGAGATCTCTTCATATTGTTGTTCAATCGAATGTTAATGTTTCCTGTCTTTGAAAAACACAACACCACTTGGTGTTAAGTAATCTACCACCATAAAATATATGAATGATAAGCTATACTTTTTATAAACTACATATATAAAACCACTTACTTGCTTCTGTGTTATCTGCAATCTGACTAATTCCAAATACTTGTAATTCATTTAGAGGCAAATGTTCTTCCAGAGAGTCTGCGAGCAAATTATCCAATGACTCGGGCACCTTTGATGTGATATCAAACGCCTGAAAATTGAATTTGAAAAAACTCAGCTCAATATTTGTCTTTAATTGAAAGGTCCTTTCCTTGTAAGTACACTTTTAAAAAAAAGGCGAACATAGTAGTCTGCTTGTTAAACATAATAAAATGTTTATGTTTTTCTGAAAAGTTTACAGCTCCTGTTGGCTCACACAAACTAAATGGACTTTTTGTTTCTTATTGTTATCGATTAATCAGCAAATTACAAAAAGAATTTTGCATTATGGATTTTAGGCTTGACAGATCAGATCTGTTCAATTTCAGGCCACTTGTGGGGCTGAAACATTTTTTAAATGACAGCATATTTTAATATATCTTATATTAAATAATATAATGTATTATAATATTAAATAATTATGAGATAATGACCATAATGTATCCTAAAGGAATTAAAAATATCAAGTGAAGTCATGTTTATGGGTATAGCGCTTTTCTCTGTAGTTTATCCTTTTTATATATGATCATACATGTGACCCTGGGCCACAAAACCAGAAACAAGGGTACATTTTTTGTCATTGAGATGTATACATCATCTGAAAGCTGAATAAATACACGTTCGATTGAAGCATGGTTTTTATTAGGATAGGACAATATTCTGCCGATTTGAAAATCTGAGGTTGCAAAAAAATTGAAACATTGAGAAAATCGCCCGTCCATTAATGTTCACAATTGTGCGACATTCACTCACAAAAATAAATATTTCATATATTTACGGTAGGAAATGTACAAAATATCTTCATAGAACATGATCTTTACTTAATATCCAAATGATTTTTGGCATAAAAGAAAAATGGATCATTTTGACCCATACAATGTATTGTCACAGATTTACTCGTGCTACTTGTGACTGATTTCGTGATCCAGGGTAACATATGAGATGTACATTTCTATGACGCTACTTTGAAATGATACATATTGTGAAAAGCACTAAAGAAATAAACAAGACACGACTTAACTCAAGTCATTTCCGTGTACGTGATCTCTTTTATTCGTATGAAGCTTTTTTCTGTTTTAACCGACTGTTTTTTTTCATTACCTGACACATGAACTGCATTGGATCCACTGCTTTCTCTAGATACCTGCAGATTTCCTCCATTTCTGTGAAATATGTTACTGTTGTTGAACAGACCACAGACTCATTATTATAAAGAGTCAATGAGACTTTCCCAGAAGGCATTTCTAAGAGAAAAAAAAAAAAGTTAGGAAAACAACTTTTAAAAAAGCCTCAAGAATAAAGTTTTAGTTTATAATAAATGATGACATTAACAGGAAACAATATGAAAATTCATTTGAAAGTGAAAAAGCATAGAGGAACTGAAACGAAAAGTTCCTCTTTCTGCGTTTTTGTCTTACCAGGTGACTGTACAGTAACAATACAGTCGTTTACAAGAGTCCCAGGCATTCGCTGCGGTGTTGAGTGCTGAGAGTGAAACTCCACCTCCAGGCTGCCCTCATCCACAAATTTCTTTGCCATGATTATATAAATATTCACACGATTCTTTATGGGAACAAACAAATGGTGGGAAAGTCATGAGTCATGACACCATGTTAAATACTGTAAATGACATTGAGTAACGCTAGCTGATGATTGGTGTTGATTACACAAATGTCAGCAAATGCTTTTGAATGAAATGCTGAAACGATAGTTTTTAACCATGTAAACGGATTTCACAAATTTCAAAAGTAACAATAGTTGACAATGAGGAGAATGGTGAGTCAAAACTGAACTAAAAATATGAACACTGACAGTCAAGCCATACATAGATTAAAATGTTGAAATGTCCACACCATGAGGCATACTGTATAAAATGTCTCTTCAGCCATTAAATTAAATGAGGCATAATTTGAGTCATTATGTTCTTACATAATCAAATTTAAAAGTACAAAATTACTGAACGTAGTAAAAACACCCATACGGGCAATGTAGGCTTCAAAAGAAGACCACTTTATTCACTGGAAAAAAAGTTAAAAAGAACAGCATTGGCAGCAATTCTTTTAGTCATATCCCTCATGACTGCTACATCATCCTTATTTCATCATTTCACTAAACTAAAAATGGCTTAATCTAAATCAAGCTTCTTGGATGGGGGCCCATACAGAACGGAAAAACTGAAAAACCATGTGAGCTTCATGCTGACATTAACAACTAAATATTCTTAGAACAGGTTCATATAGGCTCTGCATGTGTCACGTGGTGCCGTGCACTTACCCCACATGGTATTCTGTCCGGTTGGACGGTGAGGCAGATTTGGTGGTCTTGTGGCTCAGCTGCATTTGAACAAGTCTGCTCAGTGGGACAAAGATCATTCCCATTCACCTGATGATGTTCAGTCTCATCGGGTAAAGTGTCAGGAATTTCAGATATTGTGAACTCCTCGATGCGTTCTTCAAGTTCAATTTCATATGCATTCTCCCAATGATGTTCACTACCGGATTCTAAAATGAAAAATTATATATTAAACTTTACTTTCTATTTAGTAAGATTAATTATGAACCACCATGAAAAAAAAATATTTCTGGATAAAAATAATATAAACCACAGGGCTATGGAAGCTTGTTTCTGCAACTGAATAAAAAATCTAAAACATTTATGACTTCCATTTGAAGGTGGTTTAGTCCTAATTTTGAGATAAAAATAACAAATAAATTTTCTTTATTATATTCTGTGGCGGAAACAAGCTTCCATACTGACCACGGAGTAAACATTCATTTATGCCAACCTCTCTCATCTTTTATTAGGAATTATTAAAATATAAATAAATCATATGTAAATACATAAATATAAATCAAATATTTAAAAATTCCAGTAGAATACAACACATAATCCTTTAAATTATATTAATGTGCCCTAATTTTGCAGCTATGTTAATGTTCAAATATACAAATCTTTTTAGGCCATCTTTGTATTTTTGTTGTTATAGAAGAACAAAAGTGCACGTATTGATATGTTCTTATGCTGAATGTACAATGTATAGTATAAAAAATACATACCATAATCTATGCACTGAAGGACAGTAGACACATATACGGATGGTTCATCTTCTGAGTTGAGCTTTCTCCAATGTTCCCAGTGTTCAAAATAATCTGTTGACACTTGCGTTTCTGATACACCACACAAAAAAGCGACAACTTTGTGAGGAGGCTGAAGAAGATCCCGGAAAGTGTCTTGCAAGTTTGGGTCATGCTGCATTTCCAAAAACGCAGTAGACAGCAAAAGCATGATACACTTGCTGGAGCCAAACAGCTCATCATTTTTCAGGCAAATCTGTTCATTAACATCGTACAGAATGACGGAGCCCTCCAGAAAGTTACACGATGTGGCCAAGATTTGCTGTAGATACTCGGCCCATTCGCTGGCCTCACTGGTGTGAACAACTAACACCTCACACATTGTGGAGTATCCAGGTTTTTCTGCAAAACAATGGATAATAAATGCACATAAATGCTTTTAATTTGAATAAAAGAAAAATTCTAAAACAACTGAATGGTTAATCAACTACAAATAAATGTGAAAGGAACTCTTTTAAATGAACTATTTGCATTCAAGTGCTATGACACAAAAACTGATTCATTTTGCTAAAATGCTAAAATATAATAATTGAAACAAAGCACACCCCAAACAACTGGTTTATTTGCTTATTAATAAAGAATTGAACTCTAGCCATGTTGCATTGGCTACATTGTTAAGCCAGACACTTTTTGTCATAGATGATTGAGAAATAAGTTGGTGTGGTCAACCAAAAATACATCAACATTGAAATTAGTCATCCTCTGTCTCCTAAAAATGCTCTACAAACAACTCAATTTAAAAGACATGATATGAATGCAGAATTTCCCAGTGGAATTCTATAAATTACAGGAAAGCAGAAGGACCATCCACTAAGACCCAACTATTGACATGTCTGTGTGTCTGTCTTGCGCTTGTAATGTAATCTGAGATCAATTCACTTTTATAGGTTTTCTCAGGAAAATTTGACTTTGCATTGGGTTAGAGCACAAACTTCAAATAGAAACATGCAGAAAAGGAAATGTGATTTTATAACTTTATATATTTATATTTTACCCCCCGCAAAGCTGATTGCTTTTAATGTTTAATGAACATTTAATGTTACAGCACAACTACAGGAAGATTCATTATTCAACTTCCTTATTGCTTTCACCAAAACTATTATTTTGCATCAAAACTGCTTGCATGTCATCTTTAATATTTTCAAACAAGATATTAAGAAACCTTCTGATGACAATCTATTCTAATAACCAAAAATTAGTTCAAAGCTACAATTTGATTTCTTCTTAGTTTAGTCTTTAGGTTATTTGTTCCGGCGTAACATTTGAATGTCAATAAAATGAGATCTTGATTTAAAAATGACTTACCTGGCTTCTTGTGATAAGACTGCAGGGTTGTAATTAACAGTGCCTTGTTTCAGCAATCCGTACAGTGGTTGCACCTTCCCACGGCGGCTTTCCACTTACCCACGTTCTCTGTCTATACCTTCTGATCAAAATACGTTTCGTATTTGACTGTGGTGCATGACCGATTTGCCTTCAGCCCATGACTTACATCTACTAAAAGAAACAGTCCATTTCCTGATGGTGGGCGGTGGCGTCACTTCCTAAAATACTCTGCAACTGCCTAAACCATCACAGACAGAGCTTCTGTAGGCCGGTGTGACTCTATAAAACAGTAAGAAAATTTCCCAGACAAGTTAAATGCAGAAGTTTAGGTAAAACTTCCCTGAATAGCCTATATTTAAAACAGCCAGACCATTCATAAAACTTGCACATAGTATCTGTACAGATTACATTTTTAAGTTGCCAAGAAGGACATGCATCCAAAGTATCATGATTACATCTCAATAATGTTTCATTTTAGCGTCATTTTTTCTTCTGTCTGAAATTTACACCAGTTTAAACCACCCGTTTTATTTTATTCTTTCAGTAAGACTCATTTGTTCACATTAGTTAATGTAGGCTTTTAACTAGGCCTTCATCGGGACTTGACCGAAACGCATTGGCAAAATAAAGAGCAATATCTTTTCAGCTCAATCTTCGGACTATTTTGATCTTTCCATTTCGCAAGTGTTGCTGATATTTTCCAAAAATTCAAAGATTATTAAATGCTGTAGAAGTACTGTTCATTCTTGGTTCATGTTAAACTAATGTTAACAAATGAAACCTTGTTGTATGGCGTTTCATTATTTTATTATTCGGAGACCTAGCTGTTAATGATATTGGAAGTCTTCGATTCTACTGTAACTAGCATTTAATTGTTTGACTATGTATGCAAATACAGAAGCAATGCAAAACCACTCTAAAGTTCCTATTAAAAGCTCGCTAATGTTATTATTCAGCCTATTATTGACTAAAAGGAGGAAATAAAACACTGCCGTTTCTGCAGTGTTCCAGACACATTTGAGTCAGGTTACAGCCACATGTTGAAGTGAAACATACATTGTGAGATTGAACTGGAGATAAATTAAGACAAAAGCAGCAACCACACTTTCATGGAATGAAGATTTCCAAATAGGCAATATAGGCAACATGAGTTCTGATAGGTCAATGACCAGAAACCTTTGCAAGTGTCACTGACCCCATGAGAGGTTTCATCAGGATGTCTTCTCTGCTCTTTTGTATTCTCAGAATTTTGGATTAAATTGTGCCGTCTGTTACATGAGGACTACTAAGATATGTATTAGATTATTTTAGAGTGCAAAGTATTGAAAATCAAAATGTGTAAATAAAGCTTGCACAATGTACCATTGGTTAATCAAAAGTTCCTCACACACTTGCATTCTTCATGCCCAATTAAACACTTCACTTGGGCTAAATACAGACAACGTTTCATGTAAATAAATAGGCAAGTGGTCGGGTACGCAAAGTGTAGATTGGACCACAAGATTGAATAGAAGACCACAAATATAGGTTTTGGGACAGGCCCCATGTATAAATAATTTACCTGTCATTTCCACCAACTCACAGGAAGTACAAGAGGCCTGCTTGTCTGTGACATACACTGACCTGTAGAGAGCGCCAGAGTATCTGGAAAAGAGAGAGAGCGACAGTGACTGAACCAAGGCGTGCACATCAAGAGTTATTGATGAAAGTTGATGAAAAGTGTCTGCTAAATGAATACATAAATGATAACAATAAAATAGAGGACAAAACAATAGAAATTAATTAGCACTTCTGGTTCTATAAAATACATCAGTAATACCCTCTTGTTTTTTTAAAGCTTTTGCTTGTCTTTTAAAAGGCAGTCGCTAACAAGTGGCTAAATGGGCCTACCAAGGTAAAACTATTATAACTCTAATTTTCAGGGGAAAGACAGAAGGAGTTGTCAGAAGCCGAGTTATGGTGACGTATGGGAAGTCATGCGACCGTGGTATAGTTCATTTACAGCCTACGTTTAGCTTTTTACTTCTGCCGATTATATTGAAGCTTCAAAATTCATAAAATTTGTGTTCATTTTTAAAGATTATCACGATGAACAAACCGTGTAAGAATTGTAAGCTTTTGTTTGTCACATACAGATACAGTACCTTATTTTCTCCAATAATGCAAAAGACAATGGAAAAATCTAATTGGGCTTTTTGTCGAAATATGAAAAAACTAATAAAAAATTTGAGCAGACCGAAGCGCCCGTGCCCTCAGATCACTTGGACGTGACTGGTTACAAGAGGTAAAAACGATATAAATACTGTTTGTTTTCTCATACAAACCGCTCGTTTCGTGTCTTGGGCCATCAGTGTGTACTTACATTTACAAGTCATTAAATCATGTTTAATTTGGACTTCTCTGTGCATGCTCTTTGAGGTGGTTACCATACACCTGCATTATATAAATGACAGACAGGAACGGTTTGACCTAAAAATATCAAAACTGAAACTACTTAGGAAACAAAAACACCTACATCTTTGATGCCCTTGAGGTAAGCTAAAACATATAAAAAAAAAATATTTTTAAAGTAAACTATCCCTTTAAAAGAGCCAGGATGTTTTTAATATAACTCTGATTGTGTAGGCCTATGGCTGAAAGAAGAAAGTCATCAGAGCCATGTATTCAGATGGCTCTGCCTAGGATGGTTTGAGTGTGAGTACTTTTCTGAGTAATGGTGACTCAACTACTAGAACTAGTGCATCGGCTTCATCACTGACCTCTGCTGGTGAACACCCTCATAGCTCGGGGAAAACATGGCTGACAACCAGAGCGCCGAGTGGAGGTCTGTGTGCGAGAAATTTCGCCTGGCTCATGAACTCTCCGAAATAGAGTCGAAAAAAGACCCCGAGAATAACCCTTTCCGATCGAAATACAAAGCTAGAGATCTGTTGAGGGAAATCCACTGTTCTTTGAAAAAAAATCAAATCGAGGAGGAGGGCGAGGTTGACAATGGAGCGGACAGTGAGTCCAGTCAGACGGTGGATGGAGAACCGGGGAATGATTTTGGAAAAGCGTATGCTGGAGACTCTCCAGCCGGTCTGCGAGTAGCGAGGCTCGCAGTAGTGCAGTACCATCTCGGCGTAAACCACATAGAGACTGAGGAGCTCTCAGCTGGAGAGGAGCATCTGATGACCTGCATGAAACTCATTGACAAGTGCACAACAACACGAGAGAACGTCTCGCTGTTTGTACAGGCCCGGGTAAATATACACTGCGTATCAAGTATTTCCTTCAAACGTTTCATATAACGTTAACTGACTATAAATGTGCAGTGTAGCTTACTCTCTGATTTCTGCGCGATGGTGTATTCTGATGCGTGTTTTGTTTTCTGACAGAATCAGCTCGGCATTTTGTGGGCGGGAAGAGATGAGATTGAAAAGGCTCAAGGATTTCTGGAAATTGCTGAATCAATGTATTTTCTCTACATGAAAGAGGTGTGTGGTAACGTAGGGATGTTGCAAACTTGCTGGCACAACTCTCTTTTGGGCGTCAGATTCTAGTTCCTGATGACGTCACTGTGACGTGTCCTTTTTATATGGTCTTCTTAATTAAAAAAACACGAGTTTTCTCCTAAAGGACATCCACTGTGTACTACTCAACCATGTAGTGTATGGATTTTATGTGATTATTCATAAGCATTTTGCCATATAACATCAGAGTTAGATGGTCCAACTCCCATCCCCGTCCATAAACGTAAATAAGGCGACAACAACATTACACGATGCTCTCTTTTTTTCGGTTAATCAATGCATAATTCATTTTTTAAGTGTACTTATTCATTTTAGAAATTTTCAGTATCAACACTACTCACACTATACTACAAAATGGCATGGAATAGACTCAGTGCCAGCCTGTCTGGGGTGGGCAACTCTCTGGCCCTTGAGATCCACTTACCCAAAGAGTTTAGCTCCGACCCTGATCAAACTCCCATGCCTGTAGGTGTGCGCGCTTGTTTTTCCAGGCGCGCGCACGCCACAGCGAGATAAAAACATCTCAACTTTTTGCGGTCACATCATGACCACAGCAGGTCATGATGTGACCGAAACCAGCCGATCAGCTTCAGCCTTTCCTTTAACAACATTGAAAGCTCGGCCGAACAGCTGATCATAGCTGTCAGGGCGGGGTTTTATTGCTCATATTCATAAACATATCTAGTAGTAAGTAAAGCTAATGCAAGGGCCAGAAATCAATTAATCCTTTGCTGATACTTCCTCGTCATCATCGGCAGTTCATGGTTGCATATAGCGACGGTGTACATTTTAGGACATCCTCAGACATATGAAGACAAGGCATCATAAAAGGCTTCAGTTATTGGGGAAAACGGCATCACGTATCGGACTAAAAAGCTTCAGGTCTCAAAAAAACAATGTCAGGTGTCAGGTCTCGTACAATTAGGCATCAGACGAAACAGCCTCTGAAAAAAAGGCATCAGACTAAAAGGCATCAGGCGAAACGGACTCAGGTGGAGTTTAGCATTCGCATTGCCATGTGACGTCACGCTACGATATATTTGTCTAATCTGCCCCTCTAATTATTATTTTACTAATTATCAAATGTGGAAAACATTGGTCCAAAAAAAAAAAACATTTATGACAGGTTGGGGGGGGGGGGTCCTTTCCTTTCTGCCTGTACCTTTCTAATTATCTTCAAGAGAAGAGCTTGTTTAGGAGTGTTTGATTGGGGTTAGAGCTAAACTCAGCAGGACAGTCAGTGGCTTTCTTCAGGAGTTTCTCATTCCCTGATTTGCACACAAACCAACCACAACTTTCAGACGGCATCTTTATTTTCTTAGCTTAATGGTCACAGAATGGAATGCATAGGATTGTGGGATGTCAAAGGCAGGGAAGGATACATCAATGCTGCCTTAAAAAAATCGCTCAGTGGTATCTCATTCTCAGGAGACAGGAAGTGAAGCTAACATTGGATTCAGACAGGCAGCATTTTTATGCTTTTGGATGCAGCCTTTGATAAAGTTGTCAAGTTATGTTTAATTAGACTTGGAGCAGAAAAGTGAAAAGAAGGGGGATCTCTGTGGACAGAGTTGACCACCCTTGTAATATGCATTTATAATATCTTATGTGCAAATTACAGTACTTTTTTCTGAGTGTTGATTATTATATCTAAATATAAATAGCAACTCAATTTGACAATTTGGGCTCTGTTTTTTAACTGTATCTTTTAATTTTATAGTAATGTGTAATCAAGGGCTCCCAATATAGTTTACAGCATTAGCTAAGGTTTTTTGAAATTACAATAGAATCTATGTTGTAAACTGATGATGTTTTGGGCTGACATTTGTTCCCTTTATGCATATTAGGATGGTCAGCCACCAATGGATCTTCAAGACTTTTTTGTGCCAGAGGGAGAAGAATTATCCCAACAAGAGAAGACAAGAAGGTAATATCCATACCCCTAATCTGCTTTGTAAAATATTATTGTGGTTCCAGAAATGTTTTAACTCCACTCTGTTCCCTCATGTGCCAACAGGTTTGAAATGGCTTATACGCACACACTGTATTACTTGGCTCAAGTGTACAAGAATCTGCAGCAGTATGAGAGAGCTGGACAGTACTGTCACAGTACACTACAGAGGCAGCTGGAGTACAAGCAGTTTGTGCCGCTGGAATGGGCCATTAATGCCGCCACACTGTCACAGTACTATATCACCAAGGTAAAGTAACCATTGCAGTGATTGACAAGTACAATATCCAGTCCATTGAGTTTATGATGAAGCTCAGAGGATTTTTTTTTTCATTTTGTGTTAATCTTTCAACCTAAGTTTTTTTTTGTTGGTGTATTATCTTGACTTTGGTCAAGGCCTGAGGAATTAACTGTGTATATGTGGTATGTCTCTCTTGTCTCTGTGTCATAGGCACGGTACATGGAGGCTCGTCACTGTTTGGCTGCGGCTAGTGTCATTGCTACCCTTGCTGGAGAAATCCCCTCAAAGGCAGCTGCCAAAGAAAGTGGGTTTCTGCATGTTTGTCTGTTCAATCTTGTAAATTGTTGGATATTGTGTATTTCTATTCATTTCCATTTTTTTTCTGCCGAAAGAGACAAACAGCTGAAAATATATGCTGCCCACCCCTCAGTGTTCAGCGCTCAGGTTTCACTCTCCCTCTATCCGTTATCACTACTAGTGAGTGATGTGTCTTTCATGAGCAATTGGTTCATTTTGAACGAATCTTTAATATGACTCGGAACACACTCTCTGAGTTGTGTCAGAGAGCGATTCGTTCAATTTTTGTTGACTGCGCATTGCTCAACATATGGGTTCTGTATCTGTACTGGAAACAGAAAAGATTAGTTCATAGATAGAGTCTATCGTTCTTCCTGTCAGTCCAATAAGAGATTATGCTGTCAGTACCAGAAAGCGAAATGATAAGAGTCCTTTAGTTATATGCTACGCTAGTATATGGGGACATGTAACAAGTAAATAGAAATCACTAGTTAATAACACTAACAAGGCTCAAAATAACCCCACACTACGTAACATAATGAGGGTCCCTACATGCTAAACGAAGCATTGACAACTTAATAAGTGTACAGACCGTTTAATAAGAAGATACTTTATAAAGACAGTGCACTTCGTGTATACAGGCAGCAGCCATCTTTGGAAAACAGTCGTTTGTGGTTTGACTTGTCGAGACTGTTTTCCAAAGATGGCTCCTGCCTGTATCATTGTTGTCTGTTACATTGGTCTGAATTAAAGAATATGAGAATTTAATATAAATCATCAATCTTCCCAAAGGTGAGGCTGAATTTGAAAAACGTGAAGAGCTGCTGCAGAAGAGAGCCGAAATTGCTAGATGCTGGATCAAATATTGCCTTAATCTGCTGCAAGATGCAAAAAAACTTCTTGAGGTAGCCAATCCTTTTTCTTTTTACATTTCAACAGCTTATGTACACAAATTGACAGTTTTTATTTTGATTTATCTGAGCAATTTCCGTTGCTACACAGGATAATGTCGGCGAACTAGACACAGATCGGCAGGAAGAACTGAAAAGAGCACGTCGGAATGAAGAGGAAGAGAAAGAGAAGGGAAGAAAGAGTGCCATCCTTTTTGGTTCGAACGATACTTTCGACTCTATTTGCAGCCTGGAAGAGAAAGTGAGCAGCATGCTTCCGCTGGACTTTGAAGAAGCACGTGGCATCTTCCTGGTAGGTCAAGGCTACGTAGCTCAAGCCAAAGAGTATTATGAAATGGATGGTCATGTGACAGATCACATTGAGATCTTGCAGGACCATAGCAGTCTCTTCAAGGTCCTGGCCTTCTTTGAAGAGGACCTGGAACGGCGCTGTAAGATGCACAAACGCCGCGTCGACATGCTGGAGCCAATCTGCAAGGATTTGAATGCGCAGTACTATTTGTTAATCTGCCGGCAGCTGCAGTTTGAACTTGCAGAAACCTATTACGAGATGATGGACCTGAAGCTTGCCGTCGCCGACAAGCAGGATCAGCCAGACGTGCACACCATAAAGAAGTTTAACCTCTTGTGTTCCTCCTCTACGAGGTATTATCAGATGTTCCTCGACTCCATCCGCTCACCAGAGGGCAAGTTTCCTGAAAAGCTCGAGGATGACCTGCTGAGGCCGGCGTTGGTGGCCAAATTCCGTATTGCCAGATTACAGTCCAAGCTTATTTCCAATAACCCGGCTTCTCAACTGGAGAATCTCAGCCTCTCGCTGGAGTCGTACAAGTTCGTAGTGCAATACTGCGAGGAGAATCCGGAAGCCAAGAATGCAGTTGAAACCGAGCTAGAGCTGAGTGTGGAGATGGTCTCCCTGCTTCCTCTGAAGATCAAC